TAGTCGAACGGTACACACTCGGTAAGTAATCCTATAATTTTTTGTTTATAGCATAGTTTATACGGATTACTCCCAAAAAATTATACGTGTTTTGGAAATGTTGAGTCGAATTAGTCTAGAATCGGTTAATTTTATAGAAGAAAACCTTTCGAACAGCCTTAGTCCGTAAAGTTCCCACCTATCGGGCTGCGATTGGCTCATGTATTTAATCGTTCCTACAACGTAATTTTCGGTTAGCGTGGAACGTATCTAAGCGTTATAGGGGGGTCTACTGTATTTTTAAAAATAATAATCGTCTCTATTGTATCGTTAAAAATTATTTTTAATTTATTTTTTGATTACTCACAAAACAAACAACCACTCATAATTAGAAACTTAAACCTCGTTTAAATACTGATCTCTCTTTCATGGTCGAGCCATTGTTGCCAGTTAAAACACGCAAAAATTTAACAAAAATAATATTAAAGTAGCCAAGACATAGCCAAATATTGTAGCGCCACATCACTGCCAGACATTTGAATTTTCCGAGTAGAACGCGGTCGGTTAACCGATGTGACGGTTTATCGGGGGTCGGATAATCGATGCTCTACTATATATATTAAATTTTTATATCAAATTTTTTCCTAATGTTAACTGTAAGAAATTGAGCCATTCACAGCCGAATAACCAACGGTAACCTGCCAACCAATCAAATACAGGGTGGTTATAATTAATAAAGTTGCTCTACTCAGACCTGTATAGAGCTCGTTCTCGTTGACATACAGTAGACCCCTTATAAAACAGGTTCATATAATACGGATAATAGTGAAAAAATTGCGATCGTATTCCTATAAGCACGCTAAGAGACTCGTACGATACGGTAAAACGTCATCGCTGACTCGTGTCGCGATAGGATTGGTCGAATCTAGACCAATAGCAGATATTGCACAAACCGTTGAGTTTAAACGAGCAGCGGACCTACTAAAACCATTTATTATTTAACGGCCATAAAAATTATATTTGTATTAATTAATGATGTCTCCAAAGTTCAGCAAATTTTTCGCAGAAAAATAATTTATCAGGAAACACGCACCTGCCGTTAGATGCGCCGCTCCACGACGAAAACAAGCTTAAGCAATGGCGTCGTCGAACGGTGCACACTCGGTAAGTAATCCTACAATTTTTTGTTTATAGCATAGTTTATATGGATTGTTCCCAAAAAATTATACGTGTTTTGGAAATGTTGAGTCAAATTAGTCTAGAATCGATTAATTTTATGGAAGAAAACCTTTCAAACAGCTGTAGTCCCTAAACTGCACACGTGCTGGGTTGTGATTGGCTCATGTATGTAAGAACTCGTACAACATGAATTTCTTAAAACACGGAACGTATCTACCGTGTTATAGGGGTCTACTGTACTTTGATAAAACTTGATATATACATTATATGGACCATGGGGAAAAGAAAAATGCAAAAAGAAATATTTATCTATGTATATATCTATGTCTATATCTATTGTAAAGAAATATTTAGTTAAAATTTCTACTACTAGGTGAAAAAATAGCGCATGCAGTAGACATTACGCAAATTAGGAACCTTTTAAAAAGCCAGTAGTCGATGCCGTTCTTTATCATGCTTTTACAGAAGCATTGTACGGTTCAGTGACATGACACTCCGAAAATCCGAGAAAAGAAAACTGGAGGCGTTTGAGATGTGGTGTGGCGAAGAATTATACGAATGGACTGAGAGAAAGAGGAATGAGGATGTTTCAAAAGAGGCAGCAGAGAAGAGGCCATCTAATTCGACCCTCGGAATGGATGATTGTTTTATTGGAAGGAAAGATAGAGGGCAAAAGGGGACATGGAAGACCCAGAGTGAAATATATTGACGAGTTATTACGGAAAATACCTTACCAACAGATAAAACAACTAGCTAAGCGAAGAGAGAAGCTATAATACTGCACACATTTATGTTTGCCCATCAACCATTGGTTGAGGAGAAAGAGAGATAGAAACAACCATCGATCGCCTGAAACATACGGCTAAAATTTGGCTAATTAAATGATTAATACAAAGTAATTTCTCACTAGAGGGAAGAGTTAGGCTCCATCTCTTAACTAAATTAATAATTATAATATTAATAATTTAATTAAATAAATTTATAATTTTTTTTTTAAATTTTGTTTCAGTCATTTTTTGTGTTCGGTATTTGATAAATAAATTATCTTCGGCATTTACATCGTGCAGAATGTCCACAGCGGAAAGGTAAAAGACGATCTTCTTAAATTCTACTTCCTGAGGCTTGTCGACCTCCAAAAATTACACGAAATTCGTTTGAATAAGTCGATAAAAAAACTTGTGTATTTTCGGCCATAGGATGAAATAAATCAAATTCTTAAGATGTCGATTTATTTCATCTGATATTATTTCGAGTTTCGGAAAGATTCCTCGGTCGCCGTCGGGATTGCACGTTTTACGTATTAATGCAACATGAAACTGGATAAAGTTAATATTTAAAAAAAAACCAAAAACCTTTATAATAAAGCGGTAGAAAACAAAATCCGAGACAACAGGGAAACCGACACAGAGGATCAACAGATCGAGCCTGGGAGAAGCGACTATTCTTTCTGCTTGAATTTCTGGCTTTTCTAAGGATCTCTCTCATAAATTCTTGATTTGATCGGTTAATCAATTTGACACTTCCGTTCGACTTGGTCCGCAAGTGTTGATCCAACTTTGAAACTTTCGCTCGTATCTCACGCCATGATATTTTCTTTTCTGACGGCTAAGAATTTTTCTTTATGTCTTTATTACTTACACCGCCACAATTTTGCATTCAAACTAATGTTACATTTATTTCCAAATTTTGTCATGTCTACGAAAGTCAGAGTCACAACTTGGATTTTTCCTATCAACATTCTAAACATTCAACATTCAACATTCTAAACATTCCAATCCGTGACCTCACGAGACTTCAATTTGAAAAAAATTGTAGACCCATAAATTGCCACTGTCGTCCGTCCGCTTGTCTTAATCTCGAGAACGGAGTTAGATTGGTGACCGACACGAATCTATTGCTGACAGGAAAAGTATGATTCACAGGGGCAAGACATCACTAAACGAATTCAGAACATTGTGACGAAAAGTTCGTTGCAATGCCGGGCGTTGCAGCTCGGCATTGCAACGATGTCATAATAAATAATCGCTCGTTAGAATTAGTTTGGTTTATTTGGTTACGGAACTTGCAATCTGCCGAGGGGACAGATGTATCCCGAGAACAGAGGCGGATTAAGGTGTGTTGATGCCCCAGGCGCAGAAAAAAATATTGGGTCCCTTAAAAAAGAAAGAGAGTCAGGGAAAATAGAAATACATGTTAACCATATTTGTAAATACTGCAAATAAAAAATATTATGTACTATTAAGATTTTATTTCTAATAAAATTTGAAAGATATTATACATCACATTCGAATTTTACTGTCGATTGTAAACTTGTACGTAATTAAAATTGCGCATATGATACCAAACTTAGTGTTATTAGAAAAAAGTGTAAAGTTGGGGATTTTGCGGGGCCTTTCAGTAGTCGGGGTCCATAGCGCGCGCCAGTGCACCCGCCACTAAATTCGCTTCTTCCATGGAAGACTTTTATATCAAGCTGACCCCTATTTAGGTGTTACTAATGTGAAGAAAATCCGGAAAACTGAACGTGGCAGCACATTGGCCATGTTCAAACCCACAACAAACAACCAATGTTCGGCAGTTATAGCCATAACGCAACTGGGGAGCACTTACTAAGAAAGTATCGTACAGAAATAAAACTTTTAGTAGCAAGTGATATATGCTACCTGTCGCAGTAATTGAGTGAATGTAATATATATATACGTATATATTACATTCACAAAAAACATCACATTACAAAAAACAAATATATATATATTCTCAAAATTTATAATAATAGAAACAATAGTAGTAATTGTATGCTCTCAAGGAATAAAATACCCGTGGAAAATAGATAATGTATTCATTACGCCTTTTGCCAATAGATGTCTCAAGTGTACATCAGCAAATTTAATGTTGGTAGAAATTAGTTGATTTACAAAAATCCAATTGATTTTTCGGAGTGGAATGAACGACATTATCTAAAAGAATAATATATAAACGAAATTGCCGAGTTTCGTAGCAATTGGTCGAACGGCAAAGGCGTGTAAACCGAACAAACAAACAGCCAAACAAACATTTTCATTTATATATATGATTAACACATTCCAATTAAATATACGTTTTAAAAATAAAACGATCTCGTAATTATAATTTCAGTAATTTTGTACATTGTTCTTGAAGCTTATACTTTTGAATTTTTCCGCTTTCCGTTTTCGGAAATTCTTCAACGACTACGATGTATTTTGGGATTTTGAACTTGCTTATCTGGTTAAAATAAAAATTAATAAACACCATAACTTAAATTAAATACTCAATAAATTGACAGAAATTATTATCAAATCGAGGCAATTTACCTTGTCTTTGCAGAATTCTTTAACATCTTTTTCTTTAATTCCTTGATTAGGTTTCAGTTGAATGCAGGCGCACAACTCTTCTCCCATTCTTATATCTGGAACTCCCACAACCTATAGGTTTTTAAACATATAATTTAATGATTTTTAAAAGAAAACACAGTAATTTATTTGCTTACGTATGCTTCGGAGACAGCAGGGTGTTTAATAAGTAAATTTTCGATTTCTTGAGGATATATATTTTCACCACCTCTTATGACAAGATCCTTAATTCTTCCAGTTACGCAAATGTTACCGTCTTCGTCCATGCTACCGATATCACTACACAAATTCACACGACAAATTCATTTACATACACAAGAGCAATATATTTTGTATAGAAAATAGCATCGTACCCAGAATGATACCATTTGGAACTATCCAGCACTTCGTCAGTTTTGTCCTTGTCTTCCCAATAGCCGAGAAATACGTATGGAGATCTACACAGAATTTCTCCTTTAGTGTTAAATGGGAGTACGTTTCCGTCTTTGTCGACAATTTTGACCTACAATAAGAATTAAATCATCGCTACAGATTGAAAAATAAGTATATGTAGATAATTTAAATTCACATACTTCGACATGTTCGACAGGTTTTCCTGAATATCTATCTGTGGGAGAATTGGCTACGGAGATTACACACGAAGTTTCCGTTGTTCCATACCCGTTCTTTAAAATAGTAACATTCCTTTAGAAATTATTTTATTAACTATTAATAAACAAATATTGTTCAGTGCATTGATAAAGATTTATTTATTATTAAGCAGAGAAACGTAGACTTATTTAAATCTATTTTATATATTTCTAAAGTCGAACATTTAATAGTGATCATTTCAAACAATAGCCCTTGACTGGCCATTTTTAATTTTTGAGATTTTTCTATGTTAATTCAGAGATTTGCCTGTATTAATTAAATAAAATGATATTTAAAAAACGTACGTACCAAAATTTCTATATCTAATTTTTTTTCCAATTCTTGTACCAAATATTCAGGAACAGGAGATGCTCCAATTATACCTTTTAAATAATATTTCATTTCATTAATTGTTTTAAACTTATTTTCAAGGAAATTCGTATTATTAGTAGTACCTAAACAAACAGATAAATAAATGTTTAGAAAATGTAAAAGATTTTTATAAAATATCACAAAAACATTAGGTCAAAGCAAAATGTGTGTTGAGAGATTTTGATATATCTTGTAAAAGTTCAAACAAATGCATATCCAAACTCTGAAAATTACTGCAGTCTACATATTCGAACTACAGTAAACACAACATACCGTAGGCTATATTCGAGATGGACTACATAATTTAACCGTATATATGTAATGATCGAGAAGGTTAATTCATCAGTCTATTATACTGAAAGACTCAGAATCGAATCGAATACCAGTAATTTTTAACGGGCAGTTTATTTTGGTTATACTTGGCCCATCCGTCTCCACTCATCTTCCCTATTGCGGATCTGATCAAACCCATAATGAATACGATTAAAAGGCCTCCTTAAGTGCCCTTAGCTGGGAAAAATTTCAAAAATGTAAAACATTGTTAAATTGATGAGATAAGGCAACATAACAAATGAGGTAGCTGCTAAGGGGTCATCTTCAGAAAGAGCTTATTAGAAACTGGTCCTTAATTAGGTGTTAGACACGTTAAAAAACCCAGAAAACTCAATGCAACCAGCCCCGACTACACTCAGCCACTAGTTGGCAACTGAAAAGTCACTACATTAAGGGGCCGTCCATAAATTACGTAAGGTATTTTGGAGTGGGTGGGGTAAGGATTTCTTATGATTTAATCAGTAATAGGGGATAATAGATCTCGTCTTACGTAATATTCTCATTTTTATTTTTTTTGATCTCGTTGAATGGTGGATTTTTGAATTTGGCTTCAATTTGGCCGTTTCTATTAAGAACGCTCGTTGTACTAAAGCCATCTCTTATGACGTGATAAAATAATAACGCTAGTAGACTTATGCTCTACACGTTTTTTTCATGGAAAAAGGCCGTGTGGTGGTCTCTCTCTCTCTCTCTTTTTATTAGAATAAATGTACTCTTCTATGGGTGTATAACACTAATAATACATAAACCAAAATACACGATACAAAGTAAACATAAAATTAGTATTCAGCTTTTATTGAAAACTAAACTGTAAAACTAAAATTTATAAATTATAAATAGTTTTTTCTTCCATGTTTTTTGAACATAATTGTAAAAAGCATAAACAGTGGCTTCTGAACAAGCTTATCGAGTGGACATGGCCACCTGAAACTAAGTAAAGATTTCTAATTTCAAAATAAGTGTATGTTGATCGTAAATTGGACAAAGATAGATCATATGGTCGACGGTGTCTAGGTTTTATGTAGAGCAAAAACAAAAGGCAGTTTCTGCCCGGTTATACATCGCCAGGTAGCTTCTAAAATTATCATGCTTAGTACGTAGTTGAGCAGTTGCAAATGTTAAATCTCTAAGTGGTGATGAGAATTTGTATTCAACACTAGGAAAATAAAGTCTTGTTATTCTACCAGTTTTACTGCTCAACCATTGTCGATTCCACTTTTGCATAGCGTTGTCATGAACGTAATTTTTAAGGTTGCTCTAGCATGAGAGGGATGTGAGTATAGTCCGAGTCAGTGTCCTTTGCAGCTGACTTAGCCTCAACGTCGGCTTTTTCATTTCTAAGTATGCCAGTATGGCCAGGAAAAAATATAAAAGTTATCTTATTTACAAGATTTTTAATATAGTGCTGGATATATGCGATTTTATCGCTATTGCAATTGGGATTTAATAGAGCTTTCAGGACAAACTGAGAATCACTGTAAATATTGATAGAGTTTTGTTTGGTAGTGAAGTGGCCCACTGAACAGTTTAGTAGTCAGCATATTCTTCAGCTTGATAGATGGAGATATGTGGGAGGTGTCTGTATCTTCTAACACATTTTTGGCAAAATATGTCAGTTTGGAGGAAGATACAGATACTTGAGCTGACATGAAGGGAGCTTTTAGACCCATCTGTGTAGATATTAATGTCTGCATGGTTATCCATGGAGGAAGCAGATGACACCAAATGTACCCCGGGGAAAACCTTGTTTACAGGTTGATGATCACAGATAGTAGGGTAATTGCAATGTGGTAGCATATGAAGAGCCATAGAGAGGAGTAGAGACTGTTGTTGAGCCTTGATATTTGTAGTTCTGATGTAGTAGTTTAGAACCTTCTCTACAATACATAGTGGCAAACGAAGGAGCTCTGCTAGTATCAGAGGCATTAGTAGAAACAGTTCTGCAGCACTTTGAAATTCTGATGGCATACTATCTTTAAAGAGAGAGTAATTTACTTACTACTGAATTTTTACTAGTTACATGACCTCAGCTTGAGGCCGCGTAAAGCATTGATTTTATTGTCCCATTATATAAAGTTTTACAAGCTTTATGATTTAGTCCTCAAGTGCACCTAGCACATTTTAGCAGCATGTAGTTTATTTTATTAACCTTAAACAAGATGTAATTAATATGGCAACGGGACACAGTGGGGCCAAATCCCAAAAAGCTGGCCAAAAGTCAAAAGCGTTATCAATTTGGCTGAAAGTCAGTATTCTAGGGTTTTCGGGATCGCTGATTACGAATTCGAAGTCAAAATTTGAAATGAAAACAAAATGACGGATTTAACACGAACCACTTTTATAGGAAAAGTACAAAATAAATCCATATATTGTTTAATACGATAAAACATACAATCAGTTGATTAAAAGTTCATGCATCGTCATCCAAAGAATAATTTGATTCACAATCAGATGATTCAACTTTGAAATCGCTGGAGCTTCCTGTATTTGCTGGTATACGTGGCGAAACTAACAATAAAACTGCTTCTGGAAGCCATGACTTTGAGTTTTTTCGAGGTAATTCGCACAAACTCGAAATAAACGGATCGGATATTAATAATAAGCGTAAAATAATGTCTTCCATTGTTTTCACTCGGGAACTTTTCTTGCAAAATCTTCTCGAAACTTTTTAATGTATTTATTAGTAGACTCTTGAGCGTCTTCAGACATCTGTCCTATCGGCAATACCGATGAATTTATCACTTCTGCACTATGAATCAATATCTTATGTGCCGAAGTTGGCATGCAGAACCACGGATATAACTGCACAAAGTAACGAGCTGTCTGTAAGGCATAATCTTGAAATTGTATGAAATCGACTTCATGGCCACACGAAATTGTCTGCAATATGACATGGAAACGCTTAATCAAGTCCTCATCAACCCCTGTAATAGCAGCAGAAATGCTTGAGTTTTCGAAAAATTGTCGAGCGGTATTCTCATCATTCGAGCTACCGAAACCAGGCTTTGGTTGATCGACTATTAGACCCAATTCTATACGGAAACCCTTCTGTATATTCGTTTTTCAGAATCTTATTTCTTTATTTTCTTTATCACTATGCGCTTGCCACAGTTTGATTTCAAGCTTATATGCTACATGCAAACAATATT